CTGATAAGTGATAATAGTGCAGAAGAGAAGGCTTAGGTTTCTGTACTTCATTCCGCCAAGTACATTTCCTTAATTGATGTCCAGTAAGGAAATTAGTACATTTTTTTTCATAGCCTCAAAAGTTCTCAGTAGATCTAATGGGTTCAACTGACAATTATTTTAAAATTGTATTCAGCAAATACTTATTATACACTAGAGTTTGCAAGTCAATACCAATTGTAACGAAGGAGTGGTAGCCCAGTGGGATTGAAAACATGACCTATATGAGCAGCAGTTCTCTGTGGACCAGCAGCACCCGCATTACCTGGGAGCTTGTTAGAAATGCAGATTCTCAGGCCCATCTTAAATCTCCTGAATCAGAAACTCCTGGATCCCAGTGATGTGGGGTTTAACAAGCTATCCAGGTGATTCTGATATAGCTTTGATAGCCACTGTTAGAAAAGAAGGCTTTACAGTACGTAGAGAAACACGCTGGTGGGCCGCTGTGTGTACTTTGTCGAAGGGAGCGAGAGAGGCTTAGGACATGAATCAGCTGCTATAGACTTGAAGACCCACAAGGCAGCAAATGTAGCAACAGCTCCTGGAAGCACGTGTGCTATGGAGGGGAATTGATTTTTCTCTTTTATGGGAAAATGAAAATGCTTGTATTTTAGAAGAAGCAAAAGTTGCTGAAATGCTGAAAAGCTTGGAGGTCGGGGAAGTTTATGCTAAGTAATACGTTTTTGTATTAATGTTCCATGGTGAGAACACATTTATTTGTGAGTGATTTCAGAGAGAAATGGCTATCACCGTGGGACTCTATTTGCTTGCTATAGATGATTAGGCTACAATTACAAGTATAGGACCAAAATAAGTAGATTAAAAATAGAGCTTTGATTATGGTTAAATTTCTTTCCAGTAAAACTGAACCCAGTGCAAAACTGTGGGAGTCCTAGTTTTAGCAACTCTGATTGTTAATCAGCCTCTCAGCCAGAGATTTCTGTGCTAAATTTCAGGCTCTAGCTGTGGCTAATTTGCAGCATCCTCACATAACTGATATGTGCCACTAGGCATTTTGGGTCTTTTATTTTTAAAGGAAAGATAGATGGAATAAAGCTTAAAACTAGATACCATTAGGAAGCTAGTTTTAAAAATGCCTCTTCTTTATTTTAATCTATAAAGTAATTAAAATGGGGGTCATGGTGTCTTTAAAGGTATCAGCTTACAGCTACTTCACTTCAAAAGATTGTTTTCAAAGATATATAGTTGTGTTAAAACTAAGGAAGGCATCCCAACTATTATGCCCCATACCAGGAAACAAGAGGAAAGATATCTCTTGGCAGTTCTTGTGTGAGTATTCTAATCCAATGTATTTCAAACCATGGATAGCAACCCAGTAGCTGGTCTTGAAATCAATTTATTGAGTTGGTCGTCATCACTAAAAAATGAAATAGAATAAGACAGAAAATAGGGTACATCACATTTACACGGGTAAGTATTGCTTTCTGAAACTTTTGTTTCAGTTGTGTGTATGTACGCCTATTGATCAAATTCATTCAATCAATCCTTTAAGCAACACCAGAACCATCTTTTTAAAAACACATCTAAAAAAGTCATTCTTGGCCTTAAACTCTTCTCCAGTTCATGTAACAGCCAGAATAAAGTCTAAACGCTTTCAGTGTCATTCAAGAACCCTTACCTAGCTCTTCCTCCCTGTTCCTCCTTGTCATTTCAGAAAATGATATCACCATCTACCCAATCGCTCAAGCTCAAAACCAGATAGTTCTCCTTCCTCCCCCAACTCTTTTCCAATCAACTCCATCAAATATTGTCTCTTCATTCTCATCTGGTCTGAGTTAAAATTCACCATTTCAGAGCAACCTTCCCTGACCCTTCATCTAGATCAACCTCTAAACCTACCACAGTATTTCTCTAGCATGCATTGCCCTCTTCTATATTTTCCATAATAGTTCCAACTGAAATTATTTTGTTTGTTTTTGTAAGTGTGTTTAGCTTCTGTCTCCCCACCAGTGTGTAAGCTCCATGGGAGCAGGGACCTGGTCTCTCTCTGCTGTATCTCCAGTGCTGAGACCAGTTCAGAGGTCATGGTAGAAGAGATACCAACAGCCATTTACCAAATGAAAGAATTCCTCAACTAAGCTGTGGTTCCCCGAATGTTCTCTTCTACCTTTGGTCATGGTGTTTGCTGTTTTCTCTGCCTAAAATGTTCTGCACCCGCTTGTTCTCTTGATAGGCTTCTATTCATCCTTTAAGATTTTATCTCTTAAGAAAAATTTCCTGATGCCCTTGAACTGTGCTCATACATATTCTCAGTGATGCTACAGCCTTTTTTACTCACTATATTGCAGTCATTTTCATAGTGGACCTCTCTGCTGGACTGTGAACTTTCTCAGGGCAAAGCTGTGTTTTTTCTCACAATTTTTGTCTCTTCAACTCCTAGCACATACTTGGTGCATGCATCACTGTATATAATTATTCAATGAATGACTGAATAAACAAATGAAAGGATCATCAAGAAAGATGATCATTTGTGATGATTTATTTAAGTAAATAAAATTCTTGATTTATAAAAAGGGAACGATTAATATGTGTTTATATTCTGTAGAACAAAGTGTGTCTGGGGTGGGTAAGTGGGAGTAAAGATAAGTAAAAGTATAATTATTCTGTATAAAATGCTTCCATTTTTAAAATGAATCATTTTAAATATCAAGCTGTCAGTGCATTCAGAATCTGATATGATTGACCAGATTTCATTTCCCCATGGCTTTTTCAGAGCAGAGCTGTTAAGTAAAGTGAGGGAACAGTGTTAATCGCGCAAAAGCTCATGTGTCTGTGACTTTGGGGTGCAATCTGACCCAGACTGGAATACCATGGGGTTTGCTCTGCTGTCTGTGAGATCAAATGGCATGTTAGGAAACATGATTAACAGAAAATGGGAGTGGAAGGAGGAGAAAAAAGTGTCCTTCAAGATCGTACATATCTTAGTTTTCTCTGGATTTACAATCTTTCTTTAATAGAGCTGTGGCTTGCTCATCACCATCTTAAATAAAACTGCCAAGTTAGAAAGAGGCCAAACCACTTACAAGAAAACCTATTTCCTCTCTATTCTTTTATTTTTTATTAAAAGGTCCCCCACTCTGTTTCAGATTCTGGTTGAAGAGGATTTTTTAAAGTAGAGGAGGAGGGGAAAACACAGAGGCGAGATCTCTAAAACACTTAATGAAAGGATTTCTCAAACACTTTGTTATATAGAAAAATCTGCCCTCTTCTTTCTCACCAGAGTAAGTAATATGAGAAGAACCTTACTGCAAATAAGAACTCTGATGGAAAGTCCCTTTGGAAATTGCCTTTTTCCCTGTGGATCTAGGGCTGGCTTACCTCGTGTGATTTTAGGATGTTAGGAGGGTTCTCAGCTGACAATAACTACAGTATTTCTTCTCTGAGATTAATAGACTGCTTCTTTCTCGTAAGCCCTGGCCAACCTAAACAAATAAGCTAGGCTCTGGCCATTTGCAGTTCTGTCATGGAGCCAGGATAGTTTCCCTAGGGAACGAGAATTTTGATAGGCAGAAGGTGAATGACAGGGCCTTGTGGAGAGCCCAAAACAGCATGAGGACAAGGATGTCCCTCTGTGAGGGGGAGACAGAACTCCAATAAGTGGGTGACGATTGGAAAACAAATGGAGAAGAGCATGGATATTAAAGTTTCCCTAGTTCACTGTTCATGAGTCAGCTGGGGGAGGCAGAAGACAAAAGGACTTTTTTTGAAAAGACATAAACAAATGAAAAATAAAAAACAATGCTGTTGTTTCATAATTAAATAAAAATTAAATCAATTAAAAAACTAAAAGAAATTTCAAGGGAGCAAAGCCACCTCAAAACCACTTTGTGCTAGATGCCATGACTTACTGAGATCATTGGATCATCTGACCTGGAGAATCTCTGATTTTGGACTAGACACTCATGTCCCCTAAGATGGGCCAGAGTAGGCCATATGAGTGGGTGGGATGGGAGCTATGGGGTCTCTTGGGCCTTTTTTCAAGGTGCTCAGGTTCTGGGGAGAGGGAGAGGGTGTGGCACATATAACAGTGGTGCTAATAAAATGTATCTCTCCAAGTATGTGTGCCTTGTAACTTGCTCTCAACTTGTTAATGGAGAATAATATGTTTTTTATTTCCAGGTATAGCATAGCTCTGAGATTACCAGAGTTTAGGAGAATATATTGTAATCTCAAAGTTTAAGAAGAAACAACAACTAGGGGGCTTGATGTTACATTTTATTAGATTTCTAGCCATGAAGTTGAGAGAGCTAACACGTATTGAATGCAACTATTGCCATGCAACTTTGAAGAAATGACTTCATTTTCTTTGTCCCAATTTTTTCATCTAGGGAATAAAAAATTTTAGTCTTACCTTGCAGTGTTGTAGTGAGAATTAAATGTCTTTCGGCTTCAAGTATTTTCAACAGAAGGAGGCACAAAATGAAGTGTTAGCTTTGATGAATTCTCAAACAATTGTTTTTATGTAAGCATTTTCAACCCATTTTACAGTTAGGACAACTGAGTTACAGAAAGGTTAACAAACTTGTCCAAGGACATATAACTAGTAAACTTCAGAACAAATGAGGATCCAAAGGCTCACCACACGTTCTCACACCTCGGCCTTCCAGTGGGCATCTCTTTACTGCAAGCTCAGTCACCCAAAGGCTTCCACTGTATTCCTATAGCAGTTCTGAAAGCTTCCACTGTATTCCTATAGCAGTTCTAAAAGCTGCTACTGTGTTCCTATAGCAGCTTGCCTGGATCTTTCTGGTGAATTTCCCCACATCCTGATTTTATATTTTTTCTTTTCAGCAAACTTTCCCCTGTTAATCCCTCCTTCAGTGCAACCTTGTTAGCTTTGAGGACACACCCCTGGCTAGGCCTGGACTTACAGGGCCGCCTCTCCCCACCCCTTTCCTCTGCTTCAGTTTAAAGTGTCACCAGATACCTCTGGTTCTCTCCCTTTGCTTTTAGCCCTCACAGGGGCAGGAGGGACCAAGGCTGGGCCCAGAACTCACAGTCCTAGGGTGACAGTGAAGGGGTCTTGGGGGAGCAGCGACTCCCCTCCAACCCCTTCTTCGCAGGGACTCTGGCAACCAAAGAAAACCAACTGGGAAAATGAAGAACTTCTGGTAAGACCGAGACACTGGAAAGAGTTTTGGGGAGTCTGGGCTGGGGGCCCTCAGAACCAAGGGTCTGTGTTTTTGCGGCAGCGGTAGGATGAGAGGAAGATGAGAGGAAGTCGAGGAAGTCGGGGCAAGGTGAGAGACAGATAACGACAGATGAAAGAGCAAGATGAGAGTAAGCGTGAAAGACAGAAAAGAGAAAGAGAGAGAGAAAAAGAGAGAAAGAGACAGCTCCAGAAAGAGAGGCAGAAAATCAAAGATAAAAGAAAAGACAAGGAAATAGGTACAGAAACGGTGATATAGGTAGACGCCGAGAAACTGAGGTTGATAAAACAAGGACAGTGAGAGCTGGAAACATATGAATTTATTACATTTCTCAGTAAAGTTTCAAAGTCAAAATAAAAAAATAAACTCTATTGGGATTTGATCACCTACATTAATTAGGTTTACCAGGTTTGAAAATATGAAAGTAGTCCCCATCCGGAGGGACTCCTTTTTGAGTCATTTTTCTTCTTTCCACCTTCAGGAAAATTCCAGTTTTCTTCTTTGTATGCAGTTTCATGGGACCCTGGGCATCTGCGGCTATCAAGCGTCGTCCAAGTAAGGGCCATAGTTTCTGTATTTTGAAGTATCACTTGTTTCCAGAAATGACTGGGCAGGGCTGTGGCTGGGTGAAGACTGGGTGAGACATCCATGATTCTTCACACCCTCAGTCTCTTCAGTCCCGCTTTGGGCCACAGAGATACTCTAGTGCCTGGCTTTTTGTGGTCAATGCTGGGTATGGAAAGTAAATCCTGGCAGTAATCCCAGTTGGCAGGAAGGCCTGTCTGTCTGCTCCAGTGCCTAGGGCAGTGTCTGGTTCAGATGGTGATTGGTAAAGTTAGGGTGAATGTATGGAGGCATGAATTAGTAGATGGTTGGATGGATGGGTGGACCTTGATAATCCGGGGCCAGGGAGGTGTAAAGAGTATGTTTGATGTACTGTGATGGCTAGGCCAAAGCTTTGTAACTGGATAATGCTTTTTCTGAGTCTAAGAAGTCTCCATTGTCAGATGAACCTTAGCAAGGCACTGAGGTTGGACAGTGACAAGAAGCCTAATGTGGTGAAAAATTTCTTCCTCTCTACAACTTCCGACTTGTGCAAGGAGAACCCAATTCTAATCTAATATTTCTCATCAAATTGAGGGTTTAATCCTTCTTGTGATGATTTTCTTCGTCTTGTTACTCTTACCAATTCTAGGATGCTAGCAATAATCTAGTTGGGACCTTTAGTTGATCTCTTAGAATGAATCTATGAAATTAAATTTATCCTCTATATTTTATTTAGGATTAGTGAATCCCAAGACTTCCCCATTTCTCTCCTCTATTTGACAAAGATTCCTAAAAATTCTACTTTGTAGAACTCTTCCAGGCTGGCTCTGGATTATCATTGAAATTCTAAAATTTGTGGTTTTTAAGGAATATTTTCTAGCCCAAACCACCAGAAGTTTTCCAAACAGGCTTCTAACCCTGTGCAATTCAGGACATTATGCATTTTTGGTTTCAAAAAGAACAAATTCCTAACCCCACCAAAAGGAACATTTTACCAGCACAAATTATTAAAGCAACTTTGTGCCTTGTATCCCGTCTAGGATGAGTGGAAGGTGAAAGAATTATAATCATAGAGGCTTAGAGTTAAAGCCAAATACACTACTGATAAAGGATCTGGTATAATATTGTATTTTAAATCGTTGCTCAGTTATTATTATTGGTCCATCCTGGTCTTTTGCAGGATTCCCTGTCAATGCAAATTCTAACGATGGAAATGAGCTCTGTCCAAAGATCAGAATTGGCCAAGATGACTTACCAGGCAAGTAGCAATGTATCACATTGAAAATGCATGCCTTCTATAAACCTGATATATTCTTTTATTTGGGAAAGTTGTGGAAAGGAATAAAACCAATCTCATTTTGGACTTTCATTTTGTATTCTCTTTCTATAGGGTTTGACCTGATTTCTCAGTTCCAGGTAGATAAAGCAGCATCTAGAAGAGCTATCCAGAGAGTAGTGGGATCGACTGCCTTACAGGTGGCTTACAAATTGGGAAATAATGTAGATTTCAGAGTTCCAACCAGGTAATGTATCAGAAACATTTTATCTAATTATCTGCCTCAAATGCATTTTAAAAAATGGATAGTGATCTAATATTAGAGTATTTTCTCATACTCAGTGCTTCTTGGATCATAATTTTATTTAAAGATGAAGGGACTTATTTACCTACCTATCTTCAGTGCCTGAATACTGGTCTTCATGTTTTCAATATGTAATTTACTTTCCATTCCCGGAAAAAAAATCACTGAGACTATTATACATTGATTCAGGACATGTTCTTATTACTTTTCTTTCTGTTTTTCTATAATTTGTCTGGTTTTGACTGAAAGGACCCTCTGTGAAAAGTGCCAGAGGTTAAGCATAAATTTAACTAGAAGCCACAGGGTGGATGGAAGACTCACAAGGGTGCTGTTCAAGTATCATGGTGCTGAAATATTTAATAGAACCACACTTCCTCTGCTTGGCTCCTGGCAGACACTAAAGAAAAACAAAACTAAAATGATTATAACAGAAACAATGGTCATGATAATAATAAAATAAATTCCTGACTTCACTGATCTCCTTCTCTCAAACTAAGCCTTTTATTCTTTAAATTATTTATAACTGAGATAACTTTAGTGTAAGTGTTAAGTCCTCATCGTTATGAATGAACTTCAATGATTTAGTTTTGATATACCTAAATACCTTGTTTGTGATTCTAGTAACTATTATATGTATTAGTGTACTGAAAAAAAGTAGAATTAATATTCCTTTAGTAGATAAACAAGAAAATTAGGACTTTGATAAAAATTAAGGTGTAGAGGTAAATAATGATTAATTAGGACAGGAAAATAATATCAAAACTCTAAAT